ATAACTTATCCGTAAAACTTAATTTTAAAGCATTTGTTAAAAGATAAAGATAAATGCATTATATTTGTTAAACTAAACTTGATTATTTAATATACATAACACATGCTGACTGTAATACGCACACAAATTTCAAACATCAACAGAAAATTGATTTCTTGAAATTCTATATTATTTCTAAATTATAAACCATTTTCTTTAGTATTGCATCTGATACTATTGCAAGAAATAGCCTTCTCCAAGACTACTCATAATGTGCATTTGTGATTAGAATGATGAAATCACATACTGTATGACTATTAAAAAAATGAACATTACGTGACAGAATAGTTTCAGAGAAGTATATGACTCTTGACACATCCTAAATTGGTTGCAAATTACAGTGTATTAAGAGGCAACTCTCTTACATGACCTAATTCTCTCAAAGTTATATCATTTCCTTGTAATACAGGATTTAATTCAATTGTTTTCTAAGAGAAAATGATGTCATTAATAGAAGTATTATATTATTTCTATTGGACTGTATAGGTTAAAAGCATCATAATGTATTAATAAAGCACATATGTAGTCACCAAAAAAAAATATGCTGAGAGTTTTACAGGTGAAATGGTATGTTGGATTTACTTCAAAACACGTGTATATGCTTGAGGTTTTCTACAATAAAAGGTAAACACTTTGAAATAGACTAAAACACTTTACATTAAAAATAATAAACCTATTAGAATGAAATACAAAACAATTTTATTTCAAAAAATTGGGGGAAGGGAAGACCTCTGTAGGAGGCCCCCAAAACTCAGCAAAAAGGGAGACATGGCAGGTTTGATCACCTAAAAAAAGAAACTCTTCCCAAGATGGAAAACACTATAAACAAAGCTACATGACAGGTAACAAATTACACAGGTCTACTATCCATAACATAGTTTAAAAAAAAAAGAAATCATTCGCTTTAAAAATGGACCAAAGATATACAAGAGCCAATAGACGTATGAAGAGGTGCTAAGCCTCCCCCAAAACAAGGAAGTGAGCAGTGTAATCAGAAAAAATATATGTATGTATTTTTGGCCATCAGACTGGAAGAATTTTAACTGATGGATAAAACCAAGAGTCCGTAAGGGTATGTGGAATAGGTATGTGGGTGGTAGTGTCAATTAGTACTGCATTTTTAGAGGGCGATGTAATATCAAAATTTTAAATGCTTAAATCCTCTGATGCAGCAATTCTTCTTGGAGGAATTGATCCTATAAAATGTTTTCACATGTGCACAAAGATTTGTGTACCAAGATGCTCACTATAGCATTGTTGTGGTAGAGAAAATTTGGACAAAATTTTCAATATGGAAAGTGTATACATATACATGTTCATTGTACAAATTATGCTGCGTTCATAGAATGAGATAATATTTAGTGATTAAAAAGAATGCAGTGTTCTGACACATGAGTATGGATAAAACTTGATGACAAAATGCTAAATAAGCCAGACACAGAAGGGCAAATATTGTATGATTTCCACTTATACGAAATATCTAGAACAGGGAAATTCACAGAGACGGGAAGTAGATTAGAGGTTACCAGAGGCCGGTGGGAGGGGAATGGGAAGTAATTGCTTAATGATTACAGAGTTTATGTTTGGGGTAATGGAAAAGTTTTGGAAACAGCAGTGATGGTTGTACAACACTGTGAATGTAATTAATGCCACTGAATTACACACTTCAAAATGGTTAAAACAGTAACTTTTATTACCATTTGTGTGTGTATTTTGCCACACACACACACACACACACAAAGAATGTAGTGGACCTCTATGTCCTGTCGCAGAAAACTCTCCAAGAAACCATGTGAAAAAGGGCAAATTGCAGAATAATACCTGCAAGATGATCCCAATTATGTAAAAGATAACAGAATAAAATCCATATATGGATATATGCATGTTTCCAAGTTCATTTAAAATGTGTTAGTGATAGTCATGTTTGGGAAGAGGTGTGGGATTGGAGAGATGGTCAAAAGGGACTCTCACTTTGTACTTTCTATAGTTCTATACTATATTCTAATATACTATTTATTTAAATTTTTTAAAATAAGCATGTGTCCCTGTATTACTAGTATGATTAAAAAATAAAACAGAATCATTAAAAAAAATAGGCCAGCCTCTTTCCTCAGCCCAAATGTCTGTACAGCCCACACAGTAGAAAGACCCCTGGTGCCTGGGCGGGTGGGCAGGCACCCCCGTGATCCCATGTTCTCTTCTTAGTAGGGCAGGAATGTGTGGGTTGGCAGAATCGAGGGGATGGTTTCCCAAAGTCTGTGTTTACTATACAATGCTCTGGGCAGTGGTCAGGCTCTGAGGTTAGCTTATTACCATCATGTGCCATATAGATTAAATTGGCTTGGGCCAGCTTGGGAATTAGTCTACATTTACAGCATGGTTTCTATGGGTCAGTGAGCCCAGACACAAATATATCTTTGTTGAATGACTAAATGAAGGAAAGAACATGTGTTCTAAACCCTTGATTTATCAACACATTTTGGAGGCGACGTATGTAAACGGAGGACCTTTCTATAGGAACCAATAGCATCTCCTCCCGACCAAGCTGTGCTCCAAACAGTTTCCACAGATCTACTTTGTAAAGAATATACAAAATCAGCTTAGTGACACTACACATTGTCATAACTCTCAGCGTAGAAACAGCCACCTGAAAACTTACGGTGTAAGCAGATGAGGCTGATTATGCAATATGATTAAAAAAAAAGATTGAGAGAATTCTGGCAGTGAAACAAGGAAGTACACTGTCTGGTTTGGGCCACATTGGTTCAAAGTGAAACTGGATCCCAGGTTGAACTGGGCCAGGGTTTGGACCCTGCTGGGCAGGGCTGGGGCTGAGTGAGGGCCTGGCAAAGTCTAGTCGAGGACGGTCTAAGGACTGTGGGAGAAAAAATAACTTGATCAGCGATGAAGCCCTGCACATGGGAAGATGAGGAATTTTGCATATGGAGGGCTGGCTGTTACATGAATCCATCCCTGCTCAGGCCCTTGGAAGCCTGTCTGGAGCCTATGAGGGGAATGGAAAGAGCTGTTTTGCTGAAAACTCAGTATGACTTTGGACAGTCTTGCTGTGGGCACCGTTCAGGGGCGGGCGTCCCACCAGGGAAGCAGCTTCCCTCTCCAGTCCTGCCGGACCATGTTAGCCCTGCTGTCCCCATGAAGTTGATACGAGGCAGCGGCCTGCAGGGGGAGCAAGAGGGGCGGCCGTGCTCAGCAGGGGTGATGGGGACCAGTGGCACCATCAAGGTTGACAGTATGGCTTGGCTGAGTCCTAGTCTTCCCATTCCCACTCTGTCAAAGGCTGGTTTATGTCACATTGCTGGTCCCTCGACCCCAGGCTGGGTTTCAGTCCCTACAGCTCTGGTGGGTCACAGGAAAAGGCACAGAGCCAGGAACCAAGGCTGTGTATTTCACTCCCTGGGGTGTCAGTCTAGGCCTAAGTGTCTCAGGTCCATTTCCTGTCCTTCCCTGGCTCTGCCTGAGGGTCTGACTCCCGCAGGCAGAATTACCAGGATCCTCCTTCAGGCTGGGTTTGGTCAATGGCAGGAGGAACTAGAGGGAGGTCAAAGGGTGAAGGGAAGAAGGCAACTAGGGTATCCCTCCCACCAGGACATCCCTCCCACCAGGGCCAGGGCTGCATCCCTCAGCCCTCTCCACCCTCCAGTTCCCACAGGCCAGCCCGCTCTGGTTCCACTCCTGCTTAGGTAGCCCTGACCTTGCTCTCTGCTAATGCCACCTCCTCCTTCGTCCCGTCCCCGCAGGAGTGAAGGTGCTTCCTCTGATGCTAATTGCCTTGCCACCCACTGGCTGGCTTCTCCGCCTCTTCCCGGCTGTGTCACCACTCCCTGCATTTATCCCCTCTGTCCAAAAGACTCCGAGTGGCTTCTGTTTTCCTGGGTGGACCTTGATGGATACAGCTGTGGCCCCAGGTCCACCTCTGCCTTCCTACGTGGCCAGTGATAAGTTATCTCCTCTTTCTGGGTGTCTCCATTTCCAAGGGCCCTTGAGCTCTGACAGCCTACGCCCATTCTAAATCCCGATCTGGATGGTTTGGATTCAATGGACAATAACCAATGTTAAATACACATATAATATTTATATACTTTTTGTTTGTTTACAAAAGTATCAAAAGCTCATTGTGGATAATTCAGAAGACTGGAAAGAACATAATCATTCTGCTATACTGTCTGAACTTTTTTTGCGTGTGTGGAGGGAGGTAATTAGGTTTATTTATTTATTCTTTGAGGAGGTACTACGGGATTGAACCCAGGACCTCATGCATGCTAAGCATGAGCTATATCCTCCCACCACCACTCTGCTATACTGTCATCCCATCCTAGTCCAAATAAAAAGTTAGGGTGGCAAGCATATGTTGATTTTTTTTTCCCTACACCTGGCATGTATCAGCCCCCTGAGGAGCCATGGTGGGGAAGCAAATAGCTTATTAACAAGGATGTCAGAGAAAATCACTGAATGGGTGTCAGCTGGGGATTAATGATCAAATCCTTCTTGACTGCTCTCTGGAAAGGAGTGGTTAGTTAGGCCTGGTCATCGGCTTCTGAACAGTGGACTCTGGATCATTATGAACTTTATTGGTTCCGATTTGTTTACCAAGCTGTTTTATGGATTAATTTTCAGGCAGATGCCCTTTTCCCAAGTACTGCCTCTGGGTAAGCAAGGACGGAGCAGCACTGTTAGCCCAGACCTCTCTGCCACAAACCCTGCCCGCCATAGCTGGGTGGAATGCACGGGAGTCCCTGGCAACACCTGGGCCAGTTGAGCCTGGTGAGTCAAGTCTACAGGTGTGTCCCAAAGGAAATAAACCAAGGTGCCAAATATCACTGCAGTGTTGCTTCACATGAGTGAAAAACTGGAAATGATCTAAATGTTCAACATTAGGAAAATGGCTTCACGAATCATGGTAGATCCATACAATGGCATATACAGCCTCTCACACTCACACTGATGACAGACTTTTAATGACCTAGGGAAAGGTTATGGTCTTAAACAACAAAACGCCCTGTATGTAAAATGACACATAGTTTTGGTCAATAAGGGAGAAGAAGCTGACACGGAAGATCCCCCTTGCTACTTCAAACACATGGAAATGCTGATACAACGACAAATTTTAAAATTATATGACCAAGCTGGAAAACAAAACAAAACCAAACCCCGCAATCAAACAGACAATAACAGTAGAAAGGAAATCTTCAGGGGCCAAAAACAAAGAGGGAATTTGGCATCAGAGCTGAGCTGAGTGAGCCAGGCAGGGTAGGGGTGGAGATGTGTGTGAGAGCCAGAGCACGCAGGCGCCTGGTCATCTAAAAGGACTCCCGGGCACATGGCTTCATTCCCTCTGGGAGTGGGAAGGGGGCCGCCTGACCTGCATCAAACCAGATTCACAGAGAGCTGCTCTACCCCTCAACTAGGCACCAGGGAAACTCCACCCACCGGCCTGGGGAGGGGCAAAGAATCTTGTCATCCATCCACGGTCATGCACTACCTTTGTAACTGTCTATGAATCTGTAATTATTTCAAAACAGTTTAAAAGTTGGGGAGAAGGTTCAAAGAAAGAAACCCATTCCTTAGATGAAGCTGCAACCTCCTCCCTTAGGCTTTCTATACATGTCCTAACTCTCTCCTCGAGGGAACCTAAACCATATCTGCTCAGAGATTTACAGACAGTGAGCCTGTGCCCGGAGACTCTTCTTTTGGCCAAACAGCCCAAAGCACCTCCCCTATCCCTTCGGGCATGTCAACTCTCAGTTCCCAAATCCTTTTGAACTGATGTATTGGTCTAAACTCAGAGTCCTGCTCTTGAAGACATGACATGATTAGTAATTAAGCGGGGGACACAGATGTAAACTATAACTGACCCCAACAAACTGGGGAGTGCAGTCACCCAAAAGATACCTGATGTTGGGCAAACAGATGGCCAATTCTGTGGCCCGATGTGGGTCTCGGCATTTTCATTCCACTGTGCGCCTGGCCTCAGGAAGACCTGGGTGCTAGCTATGCCCACGGTCAGAGCCAGTCTCCCCGCCTGACTTGTGGTGGTCACCCCAGGGTTTCCAGAGTCCTCAGTGAGATAGGCCCTGGGAAGGCATCGCTCCCCAATTTTGAGGAGGCGGCAGCTGAGGCCGAGAAGGGAAGGGACTGGCCAAGTTCACATAAAAGGTCCCTAAGAAGCAATAGCGTTTTCAGTCACAACAGCAGCTGGAATACTGTCAGCCAACTTCCCACTTAAAACCACAAGAAGCCACTTAAATAAGCATCATGAAAGCAGAAACCTAAAGAAAGTAGATATTTATGGAATACATTTATACCTGTTTGCTTTGCATATTCCTTACCTTGTATTTTGCTTTGCTTAAGCAACTTGGGGTGTAGGGCATGGAGGACTAGTCTCTCCAAGAGAGTGGGCTTGGCAATGGCAGGAGACAGCCATTCCTCCATCTTATCAGGTGTTACGGGGTAAGCGCCAGGCACTGAGCAGAGGTAGATTCACCACAAAGCTAATGAAACAGGAGCCCCAGGCCCCTCCCTAGCACAGCCCCTTCATGATCTTGCAGCTAATTTGGTGTTTTCTCCAAAGGGCCCCCTAAATTATAGAAGACCCAGGCCCTACTAAACCTGATCCGCCCCTTTGAGGTTGGTGTTCATTTTCCCTTAGCTCCAGCTTGGGGAGAACCATGTGTCTGAGAGGGAATGTGGGCATTGCAGTGAGAATAAGGAAAGATCACCCACTTGCCTTGAGCTTCTCAGCAGCGTCTTCTATCTGGGTTATGTTGCCAACTTGCTCCTGCTTCTTGGATGCCAGCCGCGTTAAACATTCTTGGGTGAATTTCTGTATGTGAAGGAGTCAGGAGAAAAGCCTTAATGCTGTCCTTTTCATGATAACAAAGCACCCCAGGGGTCATCACCGCTCACCCTGTATTTTTTTCAGCTGAGGTATCTGAGACACAGGTGAGGTGACTTGCCCAAAGTTAAGAGGCAAGTTGGAGAATCAGCTGAAACCAGGGACCCTCTGATCCTCAGAGGCCCTCATCAGGTATTCTCCAAATATTGATGCACCCCCTTTTCTCTAGGACAGTCCTGCTTGTGACCTGCTTTTCCAGGCCCTCAAATAGGACCCTTAAGGTCAAGCAGTTTGGGGGCAGGGGAAGAGCATTCACTTCTAGAGTGAATACTGAGTACCTAATACATGCTGGGCCCTGTTCCAGGAGCTGCCCTCATGGAACTTGCATCCAGGGTTGGTCTGTGTTCCTCTGCCTGGATTGGGGTTCAGAAGACCTGCATGTGGGAGAGGCCTGTGGGGTTTGTGATCTCTCTCACTGGAGATGGCTCCCTTTCATATCTCTGATTTTTACAATTGCCATTTCTCCAAAGGTATGCTCTGGGACCCTCTCTCTACCAGGTGTGACCTTACCTCCATCTTACCTTCTTACATCCCACCTTACACTCAGCTGCTGGGATGACGGGGAGCTTCCCGAGGGCAGGCTTGCTCCATTCTTGGCTCCCCTATAGGGACCAGGGGGTGACCAAAAGTGTTTGCTGAATTACCAGGGGCTGCCACCTTCAAGTGGACAGCTGAAGCCACCCAGCAAGTTATGAGCCAGAGCCCCAGAGTCAGATGGGAACTCCTTAGTCTGAGTCTCAGTTCTCCTTCCACATGACCTGGGCAAATGACCTCACCTTTTTAAACCTTGCTTTTCTCAGCTGTAAGCATGGGGATAACCCCACAGAATTGCTCTAGAGAATGAGAAGTACACAAAGTGCTTGATGTAGTGTTTGGAAGACAGTAAGTGCTCAACAGGTGTAGCTCTTATTTTAACACCCAACAAGCATTTGCTACTGTGTGCAGTTTTAGTCTAGGAGGAGGGTTGGGAGTGAGTAAGCAGTGGGGCTGGGAACACAATAGAAACCCAACTATAAGCTACAGCCTCAACTTCCAAGAGCACATCCTTACCCCACTGTGATTTCTAAGGCTTCAAGTCTAGATCCTGTCCATCAGCCAAAGACAACCCAGCCTCCTGGTGCTTGTGCTTTCCAGTCACAGGGTGCTTCTCCTGTCCAGGTACCTGGTGAAACCCCATTTATTCTTTATGGCCAGCTCCAATGGCACCTCCTCCAGGAAGTCTTCTGGGCTTCCTGTCCCTGGTTCACAGTGTCCTCTCTTTGGCTCCCTCTGACCACTGCCTCAGGCTTCCCAATTATAATACTTACCATACTGTATTGTCAGTGTTTGTTCTCCCCCAACTAGCCAAGGAACTCCTCCAGGTCAGGGAAGAATTGATCTATGTACTGAATAGATGTCTAATGAATGAATGAATGAGTGGATGGATGATGGATGAACAGATAGATGAGTGGGTGGGTGTGTGGAGGCAAAATGGGTAGGGTGGGGGGCACCTGCCTATGAGACCCAGAAGCCATATCTCTGAAAGTAGCCTTGTTAACTCTGAAAGCAGCCTTTTGAGAAGCTACTATTATTACAGCCATTTTATAGATAAGAAAAGGAAGACCTGGGAGGCAGAAGCAGGTATTGAATCCTGGACCCCACCTGCTAGAATGGCCCCAACATGGCCCGTTCTCAGCTTGGAGCTCCAAGGTTGTCACAATGTGATGGTGTTAATTTGTGCTGTGCAGGGGGATAGGTCACTGTGGGGGTGACTTAATCACTGAAGACTTCTTAAAGTTGGAAGTGGTAGAATCAACTTCTGTGACAGGAGGGCCCGTCTAGCCTAGAGAGGTGGGGGGATTTGACCAGAGTCACTGGACAAGTCGGCCACAAGGCTGGAACAAGAGTTCAGAACCCCCTTCCACTATGAGGATTAAGCATAGGTGAGAGCTTCACAGTGAGCATGAGCCGTTGGGGGCAGTTCAGCTGGTGGAGTCCTGGGTTCAAGGCCCGTCTCTGCCTCCAGAACCTTCTTCTTCTTATTCACGAAGTGGCCTTCTAGCTCCCTCCAGGCTGTTAAGAGCGAGGAATGGAGCGGATGTGGAGGGGGAAGCGCAGAACGGGGTAGCAGAGGGCCGCTGAGGGCGTTCCCGGGGCGACCGGGCCAGGCCGTCCGCAGTGGCTTTCCGGAGCTACACGGCGGTTTTCTAGGCAGAAGGGATTTTTTTCATCTTTGTTAAGAGGTAGACATTCTTCCGGGCCAAAGGCAGTGTGATGGACCCATCGTGGAGGACGAGGTCCTGGATATCTGGGGACCACCTAGGGTACCCAAGTTCTCACTCTCAAACCCACCTTTTCTGAAGCTTAATTGATGGCCTTGGCTCGCCGTTGCCCTTTTTTGGGCCTCAGTTTCTCTTTCTGAACAATAGCTCGGCCGCCTAGATGGTCTCCGGCCGCCGTGGGGTCCTGGTCCCAACCGGTAACCGTTAGTGGCACGCCCCTCTCCGCCCGTTACTCG